CTACTCCGCACTGATCACAAAGCCCTCCTTTGGCTATCTTCATTCAAGAATCCGGATGGCATTGTTGCACGCTGGATAGAACGGTTATCAGCGTTTGACTATGAAACTCGGCATCGCCCTGGCTCTCAGCATGTCAACGCCGATAGTTTGTCAAGATTGTGTGGACATGTGTGTTCTTCTCCTGCTGCCAAGAGTATGTGTCTGCCGCCTGCTGCATCTGCTGCTGTGAGTTCATGCGGTGTCTCTCTGTCCACAGGCGAGCTCGCCCAATGCACTCCTGAGCCTGCTCCGTCAGCGTCCTGGCTGCCGTCTACCCCCCTCCGCACTAGCCAAGCTGTGGATCCCTCGATTTCTCTAGTGATGAAGTGGGTGACGTCACACCAACGACCACCTAAGGCCTCGGTCACACTACGGCAAAAATGCTGCGTCAGCGTCAGAATCATGAGCTTTTCCATGGCAACTGACGCAACGCGGGAAGTTTGAGCGTCAGACGCTGCTGCGTCTGACGTGGGGAAATCGGCTGCGTTGCCGCTGATGGGAGTGACGCTTGGCGGAAAAACAGTGTCTTTCAAGTAAAATTAGTTTCAAGACACTTTGCTTGAGTTTAGCAGTTATTCGACATTCGGCTGTTCAAGGTTTGTTTTGTTTCCTCTTTTTTTTCGAGATGAGTCCGTGGACCTACGAGGCCGAGGCTGCTCTGCTCCGAACCTGGCGGAAGAGCGAGGCGTTTTCTGAGAAGAAAATGATGTCGAGAAAGGACCAGTTGTTTGAGTGGGTCATCGGCCAACTGGAGCCTGTTGACTTGTGAGTGTTGTGTTGTCGTAAAGAGCCCCAAAAAGGACAACCAGTATGACGAAGTCAGGAGAAACACAGCTGCGATGCGGACTTTTCTTGCCTGATCAATGACACTACAACTGAAAATGGCTTCAAATTCGGAAAGAAACAACAACGATCGTGCACGCGTGGACCTAGTACCTTTCGTCTTCTTGTAATCAAAAATCAATGAAAAATTCGAAAACTTTGTCCGACAATTTTCTTGTATAATAAGCAAAAGGCCGGTTTCCGTGGGAATCCGTGTCGTCATTGAGTTTTCCTGTTGGTTTTGTGACGTAGACAAATGCGTCAAGCCGCGGCAGTCATGAGCTGCAAAAAAACAAAACACTGTGTGACCCCGCGTCTCCGTCAAGTGCTGCGGCTTGACGCTGCGTCCAGCTTCAAACTGCCGTAGTGTGACCGAGGCCTAAGGGATCAGTTGAGTTAGCTGCTGTTCATCCTGATGTGCACCGACTCTGGACGCAGTTCAATCGTCTCATTGTCCAAGATGGTGTTCTCTACCGAAGGTCTACTGATGATCTGTCCTCGTATCTTCAATTGGTCCTGCCTGCGTCACAACGTCCTACTGTTGTCAGATCACTGCATGCCGGTATTGGATCGGGTCATCTTGGCGTCAACCGCACCATCGACAAGACCCGTACACGGTTCTACTGGCCCCACATGGCTGATGACATCGAACAGTGTGTTAGAACCTGCCCGGAGTGCCAAAAACGGAAAGCACCTGAGCCCAAACCGAAAGCCCCTCTGCAATCGCAAACATCATCCTGTCCAAGCCAGCGTGTCGCCATGGACATCATGGGCCCCCTTCCTATCACTGATCGAGGAAATCGGTACGTATTAGTCATAATGGATTACTTCTCCAAGTGGGTCGAGATTTTTCCCATGCCCAACATGCTCGCTTCTACTGTCGCCGGTTCGTTCTTCAATGGTTGGATCTGTCGCTATGGTGCACCCGCTGCCTTGCACACTGATCAAGGTTCCCAGTTTGAGAGTTGCTTGTTTCAAAGCCTGTGCACTATGCTTGAGATCACCAAGACCAGAACCACACCCTACCACTCACAAAGTGATGGCATGGTTGAAAGATTCAACCGGACACTAGAAGCTATGATTGCAACATCCATCTCTGATCACCGAGACTGGGACTTGCATATCCAACCCACGCCGCTAGCATACCGCACTAGTGTACATGCATCGACTGGCTATTCTCCATTCCGCCTCCAGTTTGGTTATGATCCGGTTCTGCCTCTCGATGTGATGTATGGTTTACCCCGTAACTCACCACCACCATCTTACCCTGAATTTGTCTCTTGTATTCGTACTTCAACTGAGACTGCCTTTGAGCGTGCATTAAATCACACCAGCACCAGAAGAAGGGTTACGATGGTACATCTCGCCCGCCACCGAAGTTCACGAAAGATCAGCTTGTTCTCCTACATTCACCAGTGGTCCCTCAGAATGAGTCCCCCAAGTTTCACCGATTCTGGACAGGACCATATGTCATCCAGAAGGTGATCGATGATGTCACAGTCCGCATTCGTTCGTTGTCGGATCGCCAGAGGCTTTCAATTGTTCACGTAAATCGCCTGAAGCCATATCATCAAGTAACCGACGTAGATCTACGTCCTGCCACACCACCGACATACGATCCCGAGAGACACACCTACCCTGCACATACACCACTACCGCAACTCCAACCCCCCGCTCCGCCTCCCCCCGTCAACTCCAACCCCCCGCTCCGCCTCCTCCTGCACTTCCGTACAATCTCCGGCCCAGACATAACATTCACCCACCTGCCTACTTTTGAAAATCACGAGGGCGTGATTATCTGTAGGAAGGGAGGGTGTAGTATCCCTGCTTGGCTAATACGGAAGTAATACGGAAGCAATACGGAACGACCTTATGTATATTAATTTTAGTGTATCTCCGCATATAAGCATACGGCGTCTGCTGCATAAAAGCTGCTGCGCATTTCTGTTTTAATTAGATTAGATTAGAAAGCAACGAAAGCTAACTCGAAGAAGAAGTAGTCAACCTCTAGGTGAGCACCGTAGAGAAAATTATTTATTTTGCCGCTTCTTCTTTCACTAATAATTAGATCTCAGGTGTGTACCTGAAAGAAGTAGAATAAAACTAATTCTTGTTGATTTCACCGCGCCTACCACTCGGCTACCCTTTACAAGTGCAGTAACAGCATGAGTGTGATCGCTTCCAGACCAACGGGCGTTCAAGGCGAGTAACAAGCGCACATGATGAAGGTGACTCTGAAATCTCGTGAGCCATGATCCACTTCGCAGTCTTGAGTCACAAGGCACGTGATTTCACCGTGCCTCTGGCAATAAAATTCAAAAACTGCGCTCAGGACTTCAGTCACTTTTACATCAACGGCCGCACCAAAAATTGTCGGTGGCGTGACTCGTTTGTAGACCCATAAATAGTGTAATATTTCGACCATTTTTTAGGGGTATGCAAGTTTCAAGGTTCCCTTCAGAAACTTTTTCAAGGGCTTTGCACAACCGATCTACACTACAAAGGGAACATACCTGCAAAATTTGAGCGAAATCGGAAAGATCCACTTGCACATATACTTTGGTATTCTCAAACATGCTCCCTTAAAGGGGAAGTCCGGTGAAAAATTTAAATTTCAGGGTCGGTAGAGTTTCGGGCGCTGAGTCGAATGGTGTTGGTCCCACGTGTCTCCAACAAAGCGTTCTCGAGATATTTCCGTTTGAAAAACTGAGTTTCGGGGGCTGCGCCATGACGTCATGCGACCGCGCAACACCCTCTGCAACGTCATAGCGTGCAGCTAGGTCAAAAGGAGTGCGTGAAAGTAATAGTGTCAGTGCTATTTCAAATGATTTGGCGACTGATAGTTTGGTGCAAGCGACCCCGAAGACCTGTAACTCCTTGTGAGAGTGAGGATGCAGCCATGGCTGACCTTTATGAGTTCGGTCTGGGGCTGAGAACCTCGGTATTCAGCTGAAGAAATGGCCACGCGGGCCGGTCAAGAGTGAGCGCTACTGAGTTTCCGACTGATGAAGAAGCAGCAGCTATTGCAGACGAGGCTGATCAGATCGCTGGAGAGCAGGGTCGCCAAAATGGAGAAGAGTGATGCGAGTGCTCTAAATGTTGTTCCATACCGATTAGATTCGCTTAGACTCCAGTAGCCTGCCAAATGGTGATGTTTTGGTGCGAACTTGGAATATTTCGGACTACTCAATTGGAGAACAGTGCAGGCTCTTTGAACCACGGGCACGACTCTTCGCTCGCAACGCTATGGAATCTGAAAGTTCTAGGTCCGGGAGCTGTTCGCTGTTTTGTCACTTGACTTGTCACGGTTGTGCACTCATCGCTGTAACATAAAAATAATGAGGCGGGTGCGGAAAACTAAAATTTTCTTTCTCAAAGCACAACCACCGGCACCGGCAAGGAGAAACGCACGTTCTCTGACTACATGACTGTCCGACTGATACGAGTGTAGTACATGACAAGTCCGTGTGTTGGCTAGTTTTCTGAGTCTTGTGTCAGTTGTGACTCGAGTCTTGTACATACTACCCCAGCACGGCAGAGCGGGAGTAGTTCCGTCTGTGATGAGTTTGTTGACTAGTCGACTGCACTACAGCTAGATAACACACTGCACGCACGGCATGCACGCAGCGCAGAGCGCGTAGAGGCTGACGGAAAAGTCCAACTCGGAAACGGCTATAATACGGTATAACCTCCAGGTTTACCAAGCTGAAAATCCCAGGGTACGTAGTGTTTGTAACACTGAATCGAATGGTCTTGGTCCGAAGAAGCTGCGACAAACGGTTCCCCAATCGAACGCGCTCCGAATATGGCCATTTTTGTACACAATTAGATGGTGTGGCTGCCTGGCTGCACGCTAAGACGTCATCACCTGGATCTGGGTGATGCGCGCTCAAATTCGCACATGTTCGATTGGGCGTATCTAACGAACCATAAGCCGCAGCCTCCTCGGACAAAGACCATTCGACTCAGCGACCCGAACTCTACGGACTGTGAAATTTAAATTTTTCACAGGACTTCCCCTTTAAAGTACGAAACGTGTCGGCCGAATTTCGTTTCACGTATAGGATACCACACTGGTGACGGTATGGTATGGTTGGGGTGGCTCAACTTGGGCTTAACCAAGAATACAACGATCTTACCTTCACACGAGGGTGCGTTAGATGACCAGGTTCCATCCTCCTTACATACTGAAGATCTCTGCCCTTTGAGTGCGTATCCTTCGTTGCATACAAACTCGGTGATGCCAAACACCCTCCGTGAACTTCGTACAAATGTACCATTCTTGGGTGGAGCAAATGGTAAGCATAGAATTCCTGGTGAGAAGAGAACAACACATGAAGCAGCTCAGCCTCTCACCTTTCCAATACTGCTAGTGTTCTTATCCAAGTACGAAAGACATCGATCCAATTTCAGTGAACTTTACCCTTCCAAAAGCGCCCTACGAGCGTTTTTTGTGCAGGTCCCCCACTGATTAGCGAGTAGGCTGTATTCCCACATGTGTTATTGGTCAAGGAGTGGCGACGGACAGCAGCACCCTGGATAGATCTAATACTGGCAATTGTGATAGATGCATGTATCTGGGAGTCACATCTGGCTTCGGCGAACTTCACTTCGACTTGCTTGTTGTCGCCATTTGTGTCTATGTCTCCGTATGTGTCAGTATAATTATGTTGGACAAGAAACTACAAATCTGAAGTTATTCATCATCATCATTGTAGTGTTATCTTGCCTTGAAAGAACACTACAATCCTCATCAATAAGAAATTCAAAATGCATGAACCAGTTTCGGGCATCCTCTTCAAATGAATTACATGCAATGTGTCTCTAGTGGCAGGTTCAGTGACACTCCCAAGTGCAGGGTCACTGGCAGCGTCACCACCAGAGTCAATGGAAGTGTCAACTGATGTGCTGCAAAGTTCTGCGCCTGGAAGAACATCCGTGGAGCAAACACAGGATACGCCTGACTGTGAACCTAGCTCAAGTGTCAATGTTTGTTCTCTGGATCGTGAAGGCTGTTAGTGACCACTCCATTGCCAATGCTGATTGTGCAGATGTGCATTCCACTAGCCACTTCTCTGTTTTGTGCCATGCGCGTGGTCGCGTCCTGGCCCAATTCAACAGGTTAGAAGAAATTATATTCATAATATAGAGCCACATTTTTTTACCAAAAGAAACATGTAATTTCTCTCAGGTTCAACTGTTGTTTACTGATATGTTCTCTCCGTGAGTTAATGCAACGTCCATTATGGGGCTTTATCCCACAGAGTTTGCGTTTAGTTTCTCTTGTGTCACTGCCCACCTTCTCGTTCTCCCTTTCCCCTTTCTCCCATCCCCACTGGTGCATATTTGTTCCTTACACATATCACCTAGTTGTAATGGCAACCACCCTTGTTATGCAAGTTATCGACATGTTTCCTTGGTTCTGGTTTCTTGTAATTCATTTGAAGAGGATGCCCGAAAACTGGTTGATGAATTTTGGAGTCCTTATTAAAGATAATGGTAATGAACTTTGGTTTTCTGTCCCTTATAGGCTTAGTAGTATAGTGCGGTAGGGGTTCTGATCCAAATCCCACCTTTGACCCCTAGCTGCCTAATAAGGAAGAATAGTCCATCTATGGCAGATGACCTTTGACCTTTTAGTTGACCTTTGACCTTTGAGCTGCCATATAAGGATGAATAGTCCATATATGGAAGATGTCATTTGACCTTTGACCTTTGCTGTGACCTTTGACCTTTGCTGTGACCTTTGACTTTTCCAATTGAGGATGACTGGTCCATATAAGGAATGTGACCTTTGACCTTTGGGATTGACCTCTGTGCTTTATATGGAAGTAGTGGCTATATAGGGTGATATGGTAGAATGTGCTATATATGTCTGGATGGTCTATATAGGGGGTGAAGTGTCCTTATAAGGAAGGTGCACTTGGTTCAGGTCATATAATGCATCTTCCATAGAGGGGTGAAGTGTCCTTATAAGGAAGCTGCACGTGGTTCAGGTCATATAAGGCATCTTCCATAGTGGGGTGAAGTGTCCTTATAGGGAAGGTGTACACGGATGATGTGATATATGGCATGTGCCATAGTGGGGTGAAGTGTCCATATATGGAAGGTGGCATATTCCATAGTAGGTAGAAGTGTCCTTATAGGGAAGGTGTACATGCTGTAGTTTTTAAATAAGGCATATTCCATAGTGGGTGGAAGATGCCTTATATGGCATGCGTATCCTGGCCAGGTCATATAAGGCATACAGTCATATATGAAACAATTGTCCTAATGAAACACTCATTGAGGGCCTTTCTGTCTGAGGGTTTGAAGAAAAGAAGCATCATGTAACAAAGCTGGGCTCGTACCCGCAACCTCTCGTACGGAAGGCATGAACTGTACCAAACGACCAGGACGACTACACACAAGACCCAAGGCTCAAATCCCCTATTTATACCCGGACCGTAAAGAAGAAAAAACCCATCATGTAACAAAGCTGGATTCGTACCCGCAACCTCTCGTACTGAAAGCACCAACTGTACCAAACCACCACGGACGACTACGCACAAGAGGGAAGGCTCAAATTGACTATTTATACTGGGACCGAAGCTCACCAAGGTCTCGCTGGATGAGACATGAGCGACCTATCGACAATGTCATCGAGCATGGAAAGAAGGGTGGGTGGGTGGGTGGTGGTGGTGGTCATGGTGATGGTAGTGGTGGTGGTGGTGGGATCATCATGGCATCCAACAGATGGACAGTCGCCAACAATCACTACCCGGTGAAAGGGAGCTGAAGGCCCCATTTTTGTTTTTTTATTTTTACATTTAAAAAAAATCATTTTTCGGGTGTTTGAGGTTTTTGTAGGTATATGATATCATGATTATACCCCCAATAGTTGTACCTGTTAATTGCCACGGATGGGAGTCGGTATATAAAGTAGATACATTTTTGGATAATGTTTCATTATGAAGATGGTGATGATGTGGGGTGAAGATGGATTCTGATTTTGATATCTTACGTGCCTATGTACTTGAAAAGAGACTTCGTGCAGTAGAAAAAGAACAAGCAAGAGAAGAAGAAGAAGAAGAAGAAGAAGAAGAAGAAGAAGAAGAAGAAGAAGAAGAAGAAGAAGAAGAAGAAGAAGAAGAAGAAGAAGAAGAAGAAGAAGAAGAAGAAGAAGAAGAAGAAGAAGAAGAAGAAGAAGAAGAAGAAGAAGAAGAAGAAGAAGAAGAAGAAGAAGAAGAAGAAGAAGAAGAAGAAGAAGAAGAGCAAGAAGGGGAGGAAAAACAGTCTCATCATCTTAATCATGTTGTTCATGAAGGAAGATACGTATGTTCTTCGTGTGGACTTGTCATGGATGTGGTTTACTTACCTGAAGTTGATGTGCATCAGAGATGTAGTTTGATGAAGAAGCCTTACGCTGCACATGAGCGGTTATGTGGTGTGGATCGTCATCTTTTGCATTTTCTTTCGAAAACTGAACTCTTATCCGATCAGCTTCGTGTACACCCTCTTCGAGAACAGATAAGTGCGATGAAGAAGTCCAGTTTATACAAGAGTCTAAACTACGCTATAGCATTATCCTGTATAGTATACGATACGAATGTGGATGCATTACGTAAACTACATTCCTACTTACCTCATAGCAATGTGTCCTGGTTGAGGTTCAGTCGAATCATGAAACCTCTTCCTCAGCATTTTCCACTCCTATACGTACTGCATCTCATGGAGTCGACTAGGATGGTGTCTTCATTGCAACTGTCCACGTTGCGTTCGAATTTGCTGCTTTTATCTCCATCTGATATTATCTCTTATGACATCATTGATTGATGCTTATTGCTGGGAAACCTAATCACTTGATCACGTGATCCAGAACATGCACACGTTTGACTGTGATCTTATTTCTATACTGTATCAGTTCACAAAGGTGGCGGTATCGTGTAAGGAACCTTTAAAATGAGATGAATCATGATTTTAGCGTGCACGATGCTGATTGGTCAAATATTTTTGGCGGGCTTGATTGACTGTATACTACTTTCTACTCCAATATCTCATGATAGTCATAAAAAAAAATAAAAAAAATAAAATAAAAAAATAAAAAATAAAACTTCTAAAGAACAAGTATGGGTGGTGTTGTGTCGAGTAATACGTCCACTGAAGAGTGCTGCTTTGCCTCTTCTGACTCTAGTATCCCCACTCCTACTAGTGGAGAATGGGTTGCAGGATGTGAAAAGAATGGAATTGGGAAAGATGAACCAGGGTGATCTCATGTGCACACCCATCAGGGAATACGATTTATTTGAGAAAGAAAATATTTCCTAACCTAATTAGTACAGTGTGTGTGTGTGTGTGTGTGTGTGTGCGAAGATGGCATACTGGGCTACGCATTTCCATAGGAGTGATGGTGACGAGGCCTCCCTCAAACACATGCAAAGCATGCGGAATGACATTGCCGAGATGAAATCGGTTGTGGGGAACGATGACACCGAAAACACCTTGGTTCACGATGTGGAGGAACTGAAAGAGGAGAAAGCCGATGAGAGCAATGTGCAAGATGTGGAAAACAGATCTATGCGCTACACAGATCAAGCCATAGCAGCTGATGAGCTGCACGTTAAAACAGACGGATCCGTGCCCATGGATGCTAACCTCGACATGAACGAGCATTCCATCTGTAATTTGACGTACGACGATAGCTCTTTGACATGTGCTGTCCCTGCCGGTTGGGTGAAGAATGAAATCCGTCAATCATCATCAAGATTGCAACACGACATCGACGCTGTGCGCAAGACGAAAGGTCCTCGTGGTGATCGGGGATTTGGATGGCTTAGCGGAGGTGGTATGCCACTGAACTCTGTAGGGAGAAACGGTGACTTCTATGTGGATGCAACCACGCTCATCTTGTACAAGAAATTAAGCTCGGAATGGATGGCTTTCGGTCGGCTTCATAGATCAAGAGATGAAGCTGGTCCACGTGGAGAACGTGGATTGATCGGTCCTCAAGATGAGACTGGACCTAGAGGAGCTGATGGACAAGGTGGTGAGCGCGGTCAAAAAGGTGATCAAGGAAAACCTGGTCCAGAAGGTCCCAGAGGTAAAGTTGGACCACGTGGAGAACGTGGATTAGTGGGTCCTGAAGGTGAGATTGGACCTAGAGGACAAGATGGGCAAGATGGCTCACAAGGTGAACGTGGTGTGCAAGGTAATCAAGGAACCATAGGCCCCGTCGGTCCCCAAGGAACCATCGGTCCAACCGGTCCTCCAGGAAAAAGAGGTCCCGTGGGCCCCCAAGGAACCAGAGGCCCCGTGGGTCCGCAATCAAATCAGA